TGGTGCTGTCTGCTTTTTCTTCTTGTAGGTGCCCACATGTAGCGCTCACCCCAAAAGGACCTGCTGATATGTCCTAGGTTCTTTTCCCCAGCTAGTATAGCTGCAGCCAGGCACACATTGACAGTCACTCTTTCTGGCTCAATGAACAGTCTAGGGCTTTGTCTTTTTTAGATTTATTGCTGAACAAAACTTGCAAACAGGGCAAAAACAAGAGGACACTCCTCACGTAGTCAAAGCTTCTTAGTGCAGTCCCTCCAAAAGCAACTAAGGAAATAAGTAACTCTTAAAATACTATAGGAATTAACCCAATTTGAGCAAGCTCTCGCACTGATGCACAAGGGATCGTAGCAGTACCCAGTTACTAGGATCTTACACTCAGATCTGTACTGATAATATCTGTGGATACTTAGATACCTCCTTCCAATATCAGCCAGACATTTCTCCTGTGAGCTCTCCAGACTTACAGCAAGTTTCAGCAAACAGGCCCACAGTTCTAGCACAGCTGCTACCTTGATGTAAGAGCTCCTGTAAAAACTTCAGCTAGACTGCCCAGAAGGGAAGCAGCCCTTCAGGCTAGAAATGTCTCCTCCTGGACAAGAACAGGGCTGCCTCAGGCCCCAGACTATTTATGCACTTTCCAGCCACCTACTGGGTATCTTTCCCCAAGGATCTCCTAAATCACATAAATATTCAGACTGTGGGTTTGCCTCTTTTAGCCCACTAGATTCTAGAATCCTCCAGAAAGCAGGAGGGAAACAGTCTAACCTGCAGCCAGTGAAGACTAGAGCACCCCAAAGCAATCACAAACTCCTTTACTGATTACAGGTGAGCCAAAAAGCCTGAATTTACTTAGACTATCTAGGAGCCCTGTGCTATGGTCCAAGTCAGGCTGTGTGCATCCATAGACACACAGCATGGCACGACAAAACCCCAGTTCCCTCCTCACAGGATGTGACTGACAGCAGCAGGAGCCTCTTGCTGAGCTGCAGTGCGGTGCCGAGTGCTGAAGCAGTCCCTACGCTGCTCCTGCACCTGGCCAGCACTATGCTAGAAGACACACACTTCACTCTGTCAGGTGGAGTGGTTCGCCCAACAGATGATTTCTGATTCTGGCCTTTGACATTATGTCATTCAGAGGACAGAAAGAAAAGAGCTGCAAGGGACTGTGCATATTAGTCGGACTGAATAAGTGATCAAATGAGCATCACTTAATAAAAGCAGCAGACACTGGAGGATAAACAAGTGCAATGCTAGACTTTGTTATAAGGCTTTGAGCAGGAACTGTGAACTGGACTGGAGGAAGAACTGTTAACTATTTGGGGAGTGTGGGTCAGTAATGTGCAGCATGGTGGTTATTATCTACTGTCAATGGTCACTGGGGCATTAGTGATCAGTGGCAGTGTTAATTAAATTCTTCATGCTGCAGCGTGAAAGGATTAATAAATGCTGTCACTGTCCACCAATGCAGCACAAAGAGGTTAATTAACACTGCCACCGATCACTAATGGGGAGAGATGTGTAAATATAACTGCCACACTGATCATCAGTGGAAAAAGATTAAAGTGGAATTCTAGCTTAAATCTAACCAGCCTTAAAAATGCCCTCTCCACCTCCTAACACCTACACTATATTGCCAAAAGTATTGGGAAGCCTGCCTTTACACGCACATGAACTTTAATGGCATCCCAGTCTTAGTCCGTAGGGTTCAATATTGAGTTGTCCCACCCTTTGCAGCTATAACAGCTTCAACTCTTCTGGGAAGGCTGTCCACAAGGTTTAGGAGTGTGTCTATGGGAATGTTTGACCATTCTTCCAGAAGCGCATTTGTGAGGTCAGGCATTGATGTCAGATGAGAAGGCCTGGCTCACAGTCACCCCTAATCCATCCCAAAGGCAGGGGCGGACTGACAACTCATGGGGCCCCCAGGCAATAGGGGATCATGGGGCCCCTGTGTCCTCACCCACACCCAAAAAAAGCCTATGAAAAAGCCAATGAAAGGTACCAGGGGCATCTCATGGGGCCCCCTACTGACCCCGGGCCCTCGGGCAGAGCCCAAATGCTCGAATGGTCAGTACGCCCCTGCCCAAAGGTGTTCTATCGGGTTGAGGACAGGAATCTTTGCAGGCCTGTCAAGTTCCTCCACCCCAAACTCGCTCATCCATGTCTTTATGGGCCTTTGTGTCTTTGTGAATTGGTGTGCAGTCATGTTGGAATGGACCATCCCCAAACTGTTCCCACAAAGTTGGGAGCATGAAATTGTCCAAAATGTCTTGGTATGCTGATGCCTTAAGAGTTCCCTGCACTGGAACTAAGGGGCCAAGCCCAACTCCTGAAAAACAACCCCACACCATAATCCCCCCTCCACCAAATTTTACACTTGGCACAATGCAGTCAGGAGGGTACCGTTCTCCTGGCAACCACCAAACCCAGACATGTCCATCAGATTGCTAGACAAAGAAGTGTGATTGGTCACTCCAGAGAACACATCTCCACTGCTCCAGAGTCCAGTATCAGCGTGGAGGTGATTGGAACAACTAAATCCAATTATTTGGAGGGGTGTCCCAGTACTTTTGGCAATATAGTGTATGCTGACTAACCTATTTTCAGGCCACTCCAGTCCAGTCATGTGATCTCCCTATGTGAGCCAACGGCGTATGCAGGGGAGAGGAGAGAACATCGGCAACGGCTGAGCAATGGGTGATGTCACCACTCCAGGCTTTACCAGTCATTGTTGGGAGCTCTCTCCTCTCTCCTGCAGGTGCTGCTGGTTGATACAGGGACTGGACCAAACCAGTCTTTTTATTTTTACACAGTTTAGTCAGGATAGATTTTAGGAACGGGGATGGGGCATTTTTAAGGTTATTTAGGTTTAAGCTGGAATGCTACTTTAAGAGCACCAATGAAGGGGGTTTAAATAGCATAATGCCACTGGCTACCACAGCTGGGGGGTATTATTGCTGCTACTGACACCAATGCTGGGTATTATTACTGCAGTAATTGGTTTTGAAAAGGCGCTGACTCTTTCATAATAAGAAAGGGCCGCTTTGCCATTTTCATCCGGGGCACCAGATGACCTTGTCCAGGAACTGGCAGCCAGGACAATGCTGAATTGCCAACAGGACTTGGGTAAGTTTTTAAGGGGAAAGGGGGGATTGAACATTATTGCGGAGTTTTTTACCTTAATTCAGGGAATGCATTAAGGTAAAAACCTGATACACTTTAGAACAACGGTAACTTTATATTCATGAATATCGACTTTTATAAAGAAATTATCTTTATAATCATGGCAGATGAATAAATAACAAAAATACTTTTATTTAATGATTTCATGGCTTAAAAATAGTTAAAAAAAAAACCTAAGTAAGCTATTTAAATCACAGAGGGGCGGCTTATCCATGCAGATGGGAATTAAAGTACCTTGCGTTAAAAGCAATGACAAAGGCAATGATCAATACAATATATCAAAAGCGAACGGTTTATACTGATCCCGGAACAATGGCACAACAAAACAAATGTTTGCACTCAATTGCTATCTGCTGTAAAGTATGACTAATAAAATCAATAGGGCAGGTATGAAGAAATAGGAATGGGTGGATCTTGTGCCTTGGACAACATTTCTGATAAGAATATCAGCTATTCCGAGTGCTATCGGATAATAAAAATAATAATAAAAAAAAAAAGCCACTGTAAACTTTCCTATGTTTATAGGCCCTGGGGAATGTGCAGGCTGTCTTTGATGTCTCACTTCGATCGTGGTCATTTATTGATATGCACACCTTGGTATGTGAAGGAAAACAACTTTTAATGGCTGCACATCTGAGCATAGAAAATATTGTTGTTTAAATACCTGAGCTGGCTTTGCAGTGGATGATGTCATCTTACAGAATGTGCTCTGCATCACTCATGCTTACTAGAGATAGCACTTAAAAAGTGACGATGCTAAATGGTCCTGAGCTATAGACTGTTTAAAAGTCAGCTTCCACTGGGGCTTTTATGCTAAATGCATCTGCTATTCTCAGCCCTGTGTCATAGTCAATAAGACTGCATAGATCTGATTGCCAGTTAACCTGCTTTGACTTAGGTGCAGCCACCACCATTAAATAGAACTTTGGCAATTACTGGGTTAAATGAGCTTGCTTTCCAGCATAGCTAAACAGTTCCGAGCAGCATAATATAGAGAACACAGAATTAGCTGCTGCTCTCAGAATGTCATATTAAAATATATTTAAATACGAACAGGCGCATTCAGTAAAGTACTGCAAGCAGCAAGGATGGTAACTGTAGTAACCCACAGCATTCAGAATAGAGCAGAAATAAAGTTTTAAACTCTGGTTGCTATTGGCTATGTCCATTTGCACATCAGCATTGTTATTTGTGCTATGATTGGCATTAGCCCATAAAGACTATAGTATGATTGCTGATGCCCAGAAGATTAAAACTGCTCATAGACTTTAGGAGGAACTTCAGTCCCATCAAGGTTGGCACCACTCTCCTCACTGGTGCCACTGTCTTTGAAAATTTGGCATGTGTGCAGATGTGCTGATTGATATGCTGCACATCTGCATACGCACCAAGGCTTCCTGCGCATGCACAGACAACCAAAGATCTGGGACCTCCATAAATGTAGCAGTCTTTGCACATGCTTGCGGAAACCCCCATGAGGACATAGATATGCCAAAGGCTTTGCTGGTCCCGAAACCAATGGAGCAAATGCACCATGAGGCACCAGAAGCGTAACATCAGTCTTGCAAAGGCAAGAAAAGGAGGGACAGCACAGCCCAGCAAAACAAAGTGAAAAATACTTTATGGGAGAGGGAGGGGGCTGGACCCAGGTACAAACAACTTACCATATTTTCGCTCCATAAGACGCACCTAGATTTTAGAGGCGGAAAACAAGAAAAAAAATATTCTGAACCAATAGACTGCAGACATAGAACAGGAGATGACCACAGACTGCAGACATAGTACAGGAGATGACCAGAGACTGCAGACACAGTACAGGAGATGACCAGAGACTGCAGACATAGTACAGGAGATGACCAGAGACTGCAGATACAGTACAGGGGATGACCAGAGACTGCAGACACAGTACAGGAGATGACCAGAGACTGCGGACATAGTACAGGAGATGACCAGAGACTGCAGACACAGTACAGGAGATGATCAGAGACTGTAGACACTGTACAGGAGACGACCAAAGACTGCGGACAGTACAGGGGATGACCAGAGACTGCAGACACAGTACAGGAGATGACCAGAGACTGCGGACAGTACAGGGGATGACCAGAGACTGCGGACAGTACAGGGGATGACCAGAGACTGCGGACAGTATAGGGGATGACCAGAGACTGCGGACAGTATAGGGGATGACCAAGAGACTGCGGACAGTATAGGGGATGACCAAGAGACTGCGGACAGTACAGGGGATGACCTGAGACTGCGGACACAGTACAGGAGATGATCAGAGGCTGCGGAAAGTACAGGGGATGACCAAGAGACTGCAGACAGTACAGGGGATGACCAAGAGACTGCAGACAGTACAGGAGATGACCAGAGACTGCAGACAGTACAGATGACCAGAGACTGCAGACAGTACAGATGACCAGAGACTGCAGACAGTACAGGAGATGACCAGAGACTGCGGACATAGTACAGGAGATGACCAGGGACTGCAGGCAGTACAGGAGATGACCAGAGACTGCAGACATATTACAGATGACCAGAGACTGCAGACAGTACAGGAGATGACCAGAGACTGCAGACATAGTACAGATGACCAGAGACTGCAGACAGTACAGGGGATGACTAAGAGACTGCTGACAGTACAGGGGATAGCCAAGAGACTGCGGACCTTTGGGGAGGGAGGAGGAGCAGGTACCAGAATTTGACAGGTACCCGCTCTCACTTCCGTGGAGTTATCCTCCCTTTACAGTTGTGACCAAAATTATTCAACCCCCACTGAAATTGAGTGTTTTGGCCAGTTTGACATTGCTTTTGATCATTCAGTCATCTTGCTTACATTTACATTAAAGAGGCACTTGTAGGTCAGACAAATATAACATAACAGTTATAATGAAATAACCACAAATGTCTTTTCTGTGCTCACAGCATTATCAGTTTTATTCAACCCCCAAGTGACATTCAATCTTAGTACTTAGTACAGCATCCTTTTACAGTTATAACAGCTTTTAAACGTGAAGCATAGCTTGACACAAGTGTCTTGCAGCGATCTACGGGTATCTTCGCCCATTCTTCATGGGCAAAGGCCTCCAGTTCAGTCACATTCTTAGGCTTGCGCACTGCAACTGCTTTCTTTAAGTCCCACCAGAGGTTCTCAATCGGATTTAAGTCTGGTGACTGCGATGGCCACTCCAAAATGTTCCAGCCTTTCCTCTGCAACCATGCTCTAGTGGACTTGGAGGTATGCTTGGGATCATTGTCCTGTTGAAAGGTCCAACGTCTCCCAAGCCTCAGGTGTGTGACGGACTGCATCACGTTTCCATCCAATATCTCCTGGTACTGAAGAGAATTCATGGTACCTTGCACACGCTGAAGCTTCCCTGTACCTGCAGAAGCAAAACAGCCCCAAAGCATGATTGACCCTCCACCATGCTTCACAGTAGGCAAGGTGTTCTTTTCATCATAGGCCTTGTTCTTCCTCCTCCAAACATAGCGTTGATCCATGGGCCCAAAACAGTTCTAATTTTGTTTCATCAGTCCACAGAACACTATCCCACAACTTTTGTGGTTTGTCCACATGGCTTTTGGCATACTGCAGTCGACTCTTCTTATTCTTTGGAGACAGCAAGGGGGTACGCCTGGGAGTTCTGGCACGGAGGCCTTCATTACGCAGTGTGCGTCTTATTGTCTGGGCTGAAATTCTGTACCCACATCTGACAAATCTTTTCTCAGTTCCTCAGCAGTCACACGGGGACTTCTCTCCACTCTACGCTTCAGGTAGCGCACAGCAGTCGAAGTCAGCATCTTCTTTCTGCCACGACCAGGTAGCGTTTCAACAGTGCCCTTTGCCTTGAATTTGCGAATGATGCTTCCTAAGGTGTCTCTTGGTATGTTTAACATCTTTGCAATCTTCTTATAGCCATTGCCCTTCCTGTGAAGAGAAATCACCTCTTCTCTTGTCTTCCTGGACCATTCTCTTGCCTTCACCATGTTTGTAACCACACCAGTAAATGTCTAGAAGGAGCTGAGTATCACAGTCATTTTAAAGCTGCCTAATTGGTGCTTATTATGCTTGATTGCTGCTCGGTGACATCCACAGGTGTTTTCAATACCTGATGGAAAGCACCTGTATGAACCTCTGTTCTTCAGAGTGGTAGTCTTTAAGGGGTTGAATAATTGTGGCAATGAAGAAACCACATAAGAACCATTTACTACTGTATTACATAAACAATTGATGTCATTTTAGTTGCATTTGGTAGTTACAACGTCCTTGTAGGATTTGATTCTGAATACAATTCCAAATGTACACTATAGTCCCTAAACCCCTTTACAGCATTGGGGGTTGAATAATTTTGGTCACAACTGTAGTGTGGGCACCCGGCTGACAGTCGGGTGCCCAGTGTGCATGCGCGAGAAGTGCTGCGCTTTGTGATTGGTCCGGCATCTTCTGGGACCTGTCATGTGTCCCAGAAGACGCCGTACCATTTACAAAGTGCAGCGCTTCTCGCGTATGCACACTGGGCACCCGGCTGTTACAGCCGAGAGCCCGCACTAAAGAAGCCGGTGCGGGAAGACTGCGCAGCGCTGGACCGATGAACAGGTAAGGTTCTACTGCAGAGAAGAGCTGAGCGGCCGGCCCGGTATTCTGACATGGCGGCGGTGGAAATACCGGACGGGCCGCTCCATATTCGCTCCATAAGATGCACTGACATTTTCCCCCCTTTTTTGGGGAAAAAAGTGCGTCTTATGGAGTGAAAAATATGTTTTTTTTTGGGTGAAGGTTATTGGCTGCAGGTGATGTATTTTATTGATTTTCTTCTTATCAGTGACAAATTCTATAAAACTTACTTTTCACCAAAAAATTATGCTTGGCTCTGTATTCTTTAAAAGGGACATATTGGGAGGTGGGTAGGTGGAGGAACCAAGGGATGGTGCTTGGAGGTGGGTAGGGAGTGGAGACAAGGGGTGACTTGGAAGGTACCTGCACTTATTCTCTAAGTAATAAAGCCCTGGGAATATTCCTTTAGATTCACAATCTCTTATTGTGGTGAGAGATAAGACAGGAAATATGTTACTGGTAGAATCACCAAGTGAAAAGAACGAAAAAAAGCCTGGAAAAAAAGTAAACTAATGCAGCCACCACATCTAAGGACTTGAAGGCTGCAATATATTACATTTTTGTTCTTCAGGTTTCAATACACTTGAAAAAAGAGGACAATCATTCAGATAGGAACCTGGTCACCTCTACGGCAAAACTTTAAGAAGACCATTGCAAAGAGCAACTAACAAGTAAGCTTACCTTGGCTGAGTTTTAGGTACTTTCAATGAACATGGAAGGGGGAGTGATATTGAGGAGCAGGTCCTTGGTGAAAAGAAGGAATAGAAGCAATCAGGACAAGGTCTCTATAGCTGGTCAGAAGGCTTGAGGATACATACAAACATCAGATCATTGTGTCAAAAACAGCCAGCCTGTCATCTGTGGTGTGCGATGATAAGGATTAAAGAATATGTAAACTCAACATTTCACATTCTTGATATATGCCTACTGTACCATGTACTTGTAGGAAAAGGTATCCTGTTCTCTTTATACTGCTTGCTTTGTGTGAAATCCCTGTTGTTCCTGCCAGTCCCTCGGCTCTCCTACTAACAATTGACCAAACTTGGCAGGAGAACACACTGTGGTCCGTTCTCTAGCTGTGCTGGGAACTCAGCCTGCTCCCTTCCAATTATCAGACTTGTCTGGACTCACCCACTCTGCACATACTATCACTGGGAAGATTGGTGTGCTGCTGTTTCTCCATCCTCACCTTTCCATGCAACAGAGAACAGAGGGTATGTGATCAGTTCTAAAAAAAATACTTATAATGTGTTTTATATCTATGCACAAAAGTTTTGCCTTTCATTTCTGTTTTAAACTGAATGGGTTGTTTTATGAGGTGAGAGCTTACAATCACCCTAAAATTAGAAGACTGAAAATGATCTCCCAGGAATAAACTTGCCTATATCTATAACATATCTAGAGGACTGGATTTCCCTTTTGTTAGCTATAGGCATTATACCTCTCTGGACCATCACCCTTGTTTCCCATACCACACAAGCCAAGGTATTAACCAATCATGTCTCCCCCTAGGTCACACCAGAATGCCAGCCCCATACACCTGTAAGCCGTGTACTGGGGTGTATCCCAGGATACAGTGAAGTCACGAACGAGGAAAGCAACCTCAACACCAGCTTTTGCCGCAACAGAATTTTACTTAGATGTGGCAAATAAACACAACCACAAATGCTGGAAACATACAATAAATTTACATACACCCAGCCCAAAGACTAAGACCCTTGTGCTGCACAGCACAGCGCCTTCTGATGGATGAAGGTAGAAAGTGAAGTAATTTACCTACTGGCGGGCACAAATAAGCTGCCACACCTTACCTGTTATTACCCTAAAAGAGCAGGAATCAGTGTATGGGTGTATGGTATGGGCTAGCCTGCGGTGCAGCACAACAGCTTACAATCTTACACAAATCTACAGTATTCCCTTTCCCATAACTGGTCCTGTAGCACGTGCCTGAGTATTCCTTCTGAGCAAAATGCCATTCTGGCTTGAGTTTGTAGGATTTTATCAGCTCTCCAATATGAAATGTCACTTTAAGTTGTGGAGTCCTTCCAATAATCAGTAACAACACTTGTGGCCTGACACAAACAGAGACCCTAACTAACTAACTATAGGCCTGGTCACAGTCTATAGGCGCCAACACTGAAATGAGGTGCGTGCACGATCTTGCCGACCCGGGTCTGCTTTGCATCCGCTGGTGACTCTGAAGAGAACAAATGTCTCTCCAACAGGCCTGCGATATTGTAGTGTGTGCTGCGTTGTTCCTCGGCTCTCATCAGCTTCCTGGCAGCAATCTCATCAGCTTCACCCAGCTGCAGCTCACACGGCCCCTTCATTCAGCATTCTCCAGAACATGGCTCCTGCATTCAGCATCGTCCAAAACATGGCTGCAGTCTCCTCTTCCTGTTCACTAAAAACCCCAACTCTGTGTGAAAACCCCACCTCTTCATGAATATACAAATATCTATGCAGTCTGAGCCTGTGTTAGAAAAACAGTGACATCTTGTGGCTAAACCGCAGAATGTCAGTCAAAACATCAATTTACTCCACACCATAATTAACTGCACACAAACAGTGTTCAAACAATGAGAGCTGTTTCCCCATCTCACACACCACCTATGAATGATACAGACTCCACTCTTGCAATCTCACTTACATTTTTTCTGACTGGCCTACAATCTAACTTACTTGGCTGGAGTTACTGACTACTAGTAGCCACTTTGTGGATGCCTTCTCATTGAGTGATTTCTTTGAAATACAAGGCTTTGATCTAAATTACGGCAAGTTCCTAGGCAGAAAGTCTACAAGTGCATAGTCTGGCACTGGGTGAAAAATAATAGTAAGTATTGCCAGTG